TCCTGAGTTCTGTGAGCTGGTCTAGCAAATTACTGAACCTGAGGAGGGGGTCATAGGAATCCCCAATTTACAGCTGGTCAGTCCAGAATACAGGTGGCCTGGGACTTGCAACTGCCATCTGAAGCAGAGGAAGTGTTACTGAATCCTTTAACTTGTGGAATCTGACACTAACCCCAGGTAGTGTCAGAATTGAACTGACTTGTTGGACACCCAGTTATTGTCAGAGGACTGGAGAATCATACAGTCCCTTCCAAGCTGCAAGAGGCCAAAGGCCTCACAGAGACAATCCCACACTCACCCAAGACCAGAGTCAGGTGCTCCTTCAGACAGATGTCCAGGGCCTGCAGGAAATCAGACTCCTCTCTTAAATACTTGAAACAGAGTAGTTGGTCTACTATAAACGAGGTTTTTAAAATTCAATTCCCTCCTATTGCTCATGCAGATCTGAAATGATCTGACCAGATGGCTGGTGCTCTATAATTCTTGGATTGCTCTCATCAGTTGTTGATGATTTGGATTTTTTTCTCTTTTCCTTTTTTTTTTTTAACCCCCTCACATGAACGTGTTCCTGCACAGGCTTCCTGTGTGCTCCCATCAAGTGAGCTCTTTGTAACTAATGCCAATATTTCAGAGGTTCTCACAGCCACCTGTAAGTCAGCTTAGGTCAATAAGGAGGCCCAGGTTTGAGCTTCCTTGAGTCCACACGGGGCCAACATGCAGCAATAGCTAACAGACAGGACAAGGGGCCCTTTTCTCATGCTGCCTTCTCACCTCCACTTCTCCTTCAGGTCCCCAAGGAAAGGGAGGCAGCAAAGGCATATTTTTCTAAACGAAAACTACAGCCACTTATTGAATATTTCCTATGTGCCAGGCCCCACATGAAACATTTCACATATGTTAATCTTGTTTCAGTCTCACACCATCTCTGTGAAGTAGATATTTTCAGATGAGGAAACTAAGGTTCAGAGATTTTAATCAACCTGACGAAGGCCACATAGCTCAAAAAGAGAACTGAAGGTGGGGTTGAAGATTTAGTATCATAAAATTTGACTTGCTGCTCCACTGAGATCTCAAGGGTAGAGAGAGAAGGCTCTGGCCACCCCATCATCCTTTGTGCCCTCAATGAGCACAAGACACTTCCATGAGGACATCCAAAACACTTTGGTGGCTTTTTCTGTTTCTATACCCTCTGTGAGACTATAAGCTGCTGGAAGGCAGGAGTCATGTCCCATTTGCCACCCAGAAAGGTAGTGTGTACAGTGGTTAGGAGCTCAGGCTTAGGGCCAGACAAAGCTAGGTTTGAATTTTGACTCTACCACTTATTGATCATTTGGCTAAGTCACTTTCCCTCTCTGAGACTCAGTTTTATCTATAAAAATGAGGGTAGTTATAGCACCAGACCTCAAAGGATGCCTGGCACAGTCAATGCTCAATAAATGTGAGCTATTATCTTTATCTCTATCAGTACAGTGCCTGGCACAAAGCAGGATTTCAGAAAATACCCAGGGAGCATAAGTCCCACCATATTTTCTGTGACTGGCTTTCTGTAATAACAAGTACACAGGCACAAAGTCCTGGAGTTCAGGAGTCCTCAGCCCCAGGACAAATTCCTGAGTTCCCTGCCAAGAACCCACAGGACCTGCCAGCAAACAGCTTTCCTCTGCTTGCTTATGAACAGCTGATGCTGAATCCACACTCAAATGCTTGCTGTGCCTCCGTAAGGTGAGACAGATCCCAAAATAAACTAGAAGAGAAAGAGAGACAGGAAAATCACTTCCAGGAACAAGCAGCTCGCAGTGAGGATGCTGACAGTAATAACAGAGGCAGGCAGACTTCAGGAGAGTGACCTGCAGCTGCTCCAGGGCTGACCAGCTGGGGCCCAATTCCCACCTGGCCTGGTGGGAAGGCCCTTTAAGTCATAGGTTGGTCCCCTGGTGTTCCAGGCCACAGCAGGCAGTCTAGAAATCTGCCTTCAAATGAGCCCAGACTATGTACCCCAATATCCCCCTCTTGGAGGCCTGAGAACAACAGAGCTGAGGCCCTCCCTTCAGAAAGCTCAGGGATCAAAAGGTACCAAACCAGGTCTATGTTAACGTAAACTAGCCATTTTGCCATCTTCTTAAAAGTATCCAAAAGCGACTCCACCATCTTCCTGTGCCATGCGCTGACTCTCAAGCAGGAAATGCTATGCCAACCCCTTCTGCTCCTTCATCAAAAATCTCTGTGGAGGGGCCAGCCCGGTGGCACAGTGGTTAAGTGCACATGTTTCGCTTCGGCGGCCTGTGGATCCCAGGTGTGGACATGGCACCACGTGGCAAGCCATGCTGTGGTAGGCATCCCACATATAAAGTAGAGGAAGATGGGCACGGATGTTAGCTCAGAGCCAGTCTTCCTCAGAAAAAAGAGGATTGGCAGATGTTAGCTCAGGGCTAATCTTCCTCGGGGGGGGAAAAAAAATTCTGTGGAGCAAGAGGGGGAGAGCATTTCATGACCACAGAAGTCTCTCCATCTCACCGTAAGTTCTTTTCCCCATCTAACGCCAGAGAGGACAGGAAGCCTCCATGCTCATGCATCCTCACTGGCATCCAATTCCACAAGTGAGTTGAAGGGGTGGCACAAATGGAGAATTTATCATTTAAAATCAGAATGCTGGGTACTGAGTGATGTCTTCACGTCAAGAATCTTCACAACTGTCTCTGCAGCAGGCAGGGCAGGACATTTCCCCCACGTCACCAGTGGGGAAACTGAAGAGCAGAAGGATTCAGCGACTTGCCCAATATCCCCTAAGCAAAGCTAAGATTTGAACCAGGGCTGGCTGAGTCTACATCTGCCCTCTGTACCATTACTTATACTACCTCCACATTTATCTACCCATCAAACAAGTTCCCAGGACTAGCTACATTCCTTTTAACCTTTAGGTAGCTGTGTTGAAAGCTCTCAGGCAGTATTCAGAGTGGTGAATTAAATATACTCTGACTGAAGGCAAGTGCCAGCTATCCACACACACCACTGAGAGGTCAATTTCCTACCAACAGACATACATACAAAACCGTCTCAATATATACACAGAATGCCTTAATACTGTACTGGGGCCTAAGAGAGTCTTGTCTGTCTCTACCAGTTTGACTTGACAGCATCCGACTCTGAATCACCCCACATCAGACACTGAGGCCAGTCTTGTGACTAAAGACTCTCTCATAGAAGCCTCTCACCTAACCTCCCCTCACCAGTTCTGCTTTGGGGGTGAGCACAGGCAAAAATACTCTTGGGATGGGGCAGATATGACTATAACAAAAGCTGTTTTGCCCCCTGAGCTGTGGGGCCTCAGTGTCTGTGCTCAACTGCAATACACCAGCCTTTGGGGCAGCTTCAAGGGAATCTGGGGCAGAAGAATTTATGAGGGGCTCTCGAGAAACTAGAAGACAGAGGGTCATGTCAATGGGGCATCAAGTAAAATGTAAAAATCAGTGTTCCGTTCTAACTCTCCAAGAGGCACTCAGAGCCCTCAGCCCGCCCTTGTCACATACACTCTGGCTCTCCCTCCCCAAAGCTACAGAGGGGGCCTCTTTTGCTTAGCCATTAACAGCAGCCCCACTGCCCAGAGATCTGGGCAAAGGCTTCAGGTCAGATCTTTCAGGTTTGTTCTGCAATTGGACCAGGACTTTGAAGGGGGTCACAGGAACAATGAGTAGGAATGGGAACCACAAGACATTGACCTCCATCTGCTCCACACACTTGCCTGGTTAAAAGTGGTACAAGCACTTTTAACCACATAAAACCAGCAGATACAGCTCACATCTTCCACTCTTCACCCATGAAGGCCCCTCTTAGTTTTAGTCCTCAAGGACCAAGGGGCTTAGCTCTCACTGAAGCTGCAGGAGGACAGCCAAAGTTTGAATCTGCTAAACCCACCACCTCTGTTCCTAAAACCTCCCTCTACCCAAAGCCATTAGCTCCTACTTGGCTTCCTTGGTGCTTCATCACTCTTCTGTGGCAGCAACGACTGGTATGCAAGCCCAGCAGGAACAATACTGCTACCAGAAAGTTGGCTGGCACAGCAAACACTACCCTGCCAGCACAGCAGCAATAGGGGCAGTGAGGACATGGTGATGAATACCAGTAAGGAGCTGATGAAAAATACACTGCCAGGGTTTGCCATCCACCTTGTGCAGAACACAGTCTACTCCTGAAAACAGGCCAAAGTGTCACCATAGTGGGACTGCAGCCAAGGATAGCTAAAACTAGAAGGAAAAGTGGGAGGAAGGCGGGTTCAGGCTCTGGGGTTAAGGACAGAAGACAAGTTAGCTGAATGACGTAGGTCAAGTTATCTAATCTTTCTGAGCTTCGATGTTTTCGTCCGAAAAAGATAATCGTTCCTATTATTGTGAAGACAGAACAAAATCATGCACATGAAGCACTCAGCATAGTACCTGAATATGGTAAACTCTCTACAATTGCTGGCTATTTGCATTATTATTTTAAGCCCTGGGCCCAGCTCATAAAAGGGTTAGAAAGTTGTTCCTTCTGATGACACCCCATTTAAAACCCAGGCCAGGACCAGCCTGTTTCTTGGCAGAGGTTCCTTTAGCAACAGAACACTCCTGCCCCACACCAGTGCTCAGGACTCTCCCGTGAACAATGTCAGCAGTGTTGAGACGAGCAACAGAGCCCAAAATAGCATTTGCAGAGCGAGGCACATGTCACTGCCTCTCCTGTGCTTCAGAAGTGCAAGGAAAGAAAGTTTTCAATCACTTGCTCAGAAAGCTTGGCCACCCACCACCTTCCTTCCCTCCAGTGCATTCAGACGCCGCAATCTCTATTCTGTTGGAAAATGAAAGTCCCTGAGCCCTGCAGCAGCAGCCACCACTCTGATGGACCACAATGTTCCCCTCCAGTGGGCCAGAGAGTGGCCGCTCCTACAAAGCAGCCCTGTGGAGACAAAGGACATATACAGTTTGAGTTCAGAGTGTGTTTCCTGGGGAGAGGGCTGGGCTTGGTACCTGGCCGAAGGGGCTCCCACTCATGGGTTGGGTGAAACACCTCCAGGACCTCTGGGTCCAGCTCCTCCTCTGCTGTGGTTTCCTTTCTCTCCGTTTCTTTGGTGCTGCTCTTCTCTGTGTTGGTCAGTGCAAACTCCTTCAGAGAAAAGAAAACACAGCGTATGACCCACCACAGCTAGGCACCAGGCAAGCAGAAAGAAAATGGCCTGGGGTGGTCCATTCTTCTCCTCCAGGTCCCTCCTCCCCTTCCCAGCCATGTTTGGACCTTTCACAAGGTTAGCCCCAGAACCAATATGAGTGAGGCAATACAATTAAATGAACACAGCATTTGTTGTATGTATGTGGTACTTCTGTGTATGCATTTTTAAAAAGTCCAGAAGGGGGCTGGCCCCATGGCCAAGTGGTTAAAGGTCCACGCACTCCACTTTGGTAGTCCAGGGTTCACAGGTTTGGATCCCAGGCATGGACATACTCCACTCATCAGCCATGCTGTGGAGGCATCCCACATACAAAGTAAAGGAAGACTGGCATAGATGTTAGCTCAGGACTAATCTTCCTCAAAAAAGAGGAGGACTGGCAACAGATGTTAGCTCAGGGTGAGTCTTCCTCACAAAAAAAAAAAAAAGTCCAGAAGGTTCCATACTATCTCGAGGAGGTTAAAGGAACATACTAGGGAGAGGGGTTGACCAAAGTAGACAATAAGAGCCTTTACTTTTTACTTGATATGCTATTATACTGTTTGACGTTTTAAACTCATACCTATTACTCCTACAATTAAAAAAACAGATATTTATAAAAGAAAAAACACACATATGAATGTGAGAGTAAGGCCTCAAATGGCCAACACAGATGTACAAAAGCTGGCAGCTGAGGCCCAACTGATTCCTAAGCAGCCCAGCAGGGCACCGCAAGAGCCTGGCACTTCCCCGGAGTTCCTATGGGGCATAAACGACCTCTTGGGACATTCCAATCCATGGAGGAAGGGGTACAAGTGAAAAGGTAGGAGTGCAGCTAGGCTGAAGGAGGAAGATGCCCAGGTTGGAAACCTCTTCCTAAAACCTGTTTCCTTCCACCGCATAGAGAGCATGGAGGATTAATGAGATGGTGTCTGTGGAGCACTTTGAGCTCAGAAGACAGAGATGCAAGGTAAATACAAAGTATTATTCATTTTGCTCCTTCCCAGGCTCCCATCCTTTCTATCCCATTTTTAAACCTGTTCTTGGATAAAAGCAGTAAGGCCTCAGGAAATTGGAACCTGAGGGTTCCAGAGATCTGGGAAATTAGATTTGGGAGGGCAAGGAAGAACCCACACTAGCAAACTAGGAGGTTATTTCAGCTCTCTCACCTCCTCTGCCATCACTTTTCCTCCACTTCCCAATTCTTCCCCTAATAATAGTAAGCATATTTAGCAGATTGCTCCCATGAACCCAAACCTGTGCAGGGTACTTTACATAGATCTCATTTTGGTCTCCCAATAATTCTAACCCAGCATGAGAGGTAACAATGCATCTCTTTCAAGCAAGGCCCCAGCTCCACATAGGTACTCCCACTTGCCTGGGTCCCTCAGGTTCCAATTTTTAATTAGCTGTCAGAAGAAAGGTTAAGGTGTTAAAATGTTGGTGCAACAATGTAAAGCCCCTCCAAGGATTTTTACATGTTAACAAGAAATAAAGGCATAAAATTCAGATGGCAGAATTGCAGATCTTATTAAGAACTTGTAAGAAAAATATCTTGGACAAGAAGAGGTCCTCAAATCATGTCAAAAGTAATGAGAGGCACTGACTACAGCATAGTGGTTAAGAATTCTAACTCTGCATCAGATAACCCAAAGTTCAAATCCCAGTTTCTTGTGACTCCAGGAAAGTTACTTAACTTTCTAAGCCTCAGTTTCTACATTTGTAAAGTAGAGGTAATAACAATATCTCATTCATACATCAGATGAGGTATTACCTTGTAAACCACCAGCTGGGTACATGGTAGCCATTACTCTTATTACTTGTAAAGGCAGTCATAGATTCCAGGTTGGATGAGTCTGTGCTGTGACATCCAACAGTGACTACACAATATGGCATCGTTAAGGCAGGTCAGGTTTGGCTTGTGATCACCTGTGCAACCTAGCCTCTCAAACCCCTCCTACCCCTTTCAACTTGAAGTCTGTAAAATCTGAGCTCAAAAGAAAACTAGGAACAGAAGAGTAGAGGTGTTTGTGAGACTAAAGAGAAAACAGACTGGGAGAAGGCACCCTACATCCTGAGGGCACGGATGTCAAACTTTCAAAAGCCAAGTTTCCTGAGGGCAGGCACTGTGTCAGTCTCTTTCACCACTGTCTCCCCCATGGCTAGCACAGGGCTTACTTTGTAATCACAAAATAAAGCAATGAAGGAATGCCCCACTCCCATAGGTAAGTATGTCTTCTGGATGCCTTGGATGAGGCAAACCCAAAGTAGCTGAGTCTGCTGCAAGCCAGGCACAAGCCCCACATTCCAGAACAAAGGCCACCTTGGCCACTAAGTACCCAGAGCCTGTGTACTCCAGGCCCAGCCATGTTGGTCAGCCTCTGCCAGAAGCACCATACACTAAACCATGGAATTAGGAGATCATTGATAAAATTTACTTCAAAGTATGTGGGTCGAATGCCTCCAGGGGCCAGGCAGGGATGGATATTAAGGAGTACAGTGGGCCAAGCGTAAAACAAGACGGAGCGTTGCAACTGTGAAAACTACAGCCCTACTGCCTTGACTAAGGAATGCAGCTGTTACTCAGCTACTCCACGCTGCCACAAAGGCCTTCAACTCGAAGAGGAAACAGAAATCCAGATTTTTATGTGAAATTTTCTTATTTTTAGAACACTAAGAGAGCCAAACTAACTATCTCTAAGCTTTAAATTACAACTCTTGCTTTAGTATATCTATTAGTCAAGTAACTCCTGGCAGGTGTGGCTGTAAATAAGCAACAAAATTGTCATCATCAAGAGAAGCAGAAAGAGGCAAAGGGGAATGGCAATGCTAAGAATATGGCAGAAAGCCCTTCAAAATTTAGGCAGGGCTAGTGTTCATTCTGATGACTAGGAGTTGGGAAAGCTTTTTTTTTCCTAGATTTCTTCAACAAAGTTAACAGAGTAGGTTCAAGAAGAAGGATTAGAACGAGACTGATGAACCACTGAGCCACACGCTTCAAGCCGTAGGAAGGCCAAACATTTTTGCAACAATTCCACCCTGCTCAAAATGTTTTTTGAGCTTCCTTTTGGTATCATCTTTGAATCAGACTTTAAGCTACACTCATACACACGTGCACATACCTGCACGCACGTACACACACACAATTGGCTATTATTTTATAGTACACCTTAGTTTTTAGTGGAGGTAATACAAAATTGGTGCTCCCTTGTCTGATCAGCATACGCTGTTCACCAAATCTGGCTGTGAGTGACTTTGGACTCTTTGCCCAAATCACATCTGGCAAGTACTGAGGGAGGTTCAGTCATATGAACATATCACAAACTACACAGTCAGTTCAAAAGGGGAATTCCAGGAAAGATTTCAAGGAAAAGCAGCATCACAGGGATGAGGTTGTAATAATAACAGCAGCTACCATTTATTAAGCCCTAACCATATGCTTAGCACTGGGCTAAAGTGCCTTCCATGCCTCACAACTCAGCCAAGTTTCATCTGGAAGCACACATTTTTATTTCCATTTTACAGATGAGGATGGATACAGGGCCTGTGCAAAATCATACCGCTGAGAAAAGCAGAGCAGAGATCTAAGTCCAGGCCTGCTGGCTCCAAACCCTATGCATGAATTCTGACTCACTTCTGTGTTTCTGTTTAGTCATGTGTCCTAATGGTTGTGCCCTGGATGCTGAGGGGATGAAGCAAGGGCAATGAGATCACCTAAGCCCATATATCGGCACGTCCCCCTTCCCAAGGGAAGGCTTTCATGGATGAGGTGTGAGAAACTACAGTCCCAGGGAAAGGACAAACAAGACCAGCCTCTCTCTGCACAGGCAGCATCCTAAACAGGAGAGAAAGAATAAGAGGTGAGAGAGGCCAACCAGCCCTTGGTCAGTTCTGAAGTAAAGCCCATGCTCTTGTGCAACTCTCAACTGGCTTCTCAGGGCTCCCTTCCATGCTGAATCCTGAGCACTCTCTTCTCCCTGCCACCATCACTCCAAATACCAATTTCCTCTCAACTGACTGGGAAGAAATCCCAGCTAAGGTGTTAGCTGACAACAGCTTACCATGTCACACTTCCTTGCGCTTGTTTCTGAATAAGAGACTCTTAAAGACCAAAGTCTTCAACATCCAAGAGAATGAATGAATCTCTAATGGTAGGTTGATAGACATTGTGACAGAGACAGATTGCCAGGGCAACATTTTGGGACAGGAGCTTGCCTGACAGAGCTCTAAATTAAACCACAGAAGCAGCCACCCCTTACTAAAAATAAAAGCTAACATATATTGACCATATTGTGCCAGTCCCAATGCTAGGTGCTTTATATACATAATCACATTAATCTATGCTAAAATCTTAAGAAGGAGGTACCAACTCTGTATTACAGATGAGGAAACAAAGCTCAGAAATGGTCAAACTGCCAAAGTAGGTAGCAAAAGGGAGTGTACCAAGGGTCTGTGCTCCTTCCACTGGGTTCCACTACCTCCCTCCTCACTCACCACCTTTTTGAAGGCCAGTATACCACACAACCACACTCCTTCAGTATCCACACCGCTAAGGTGTGACATCCCAGAAAGGTGCCACAGCAGGAGCCAGGCAGGGAGGCTGGCTCCAGAACATACTCTGATACACACAGCCAACCTTTCCTGGGTGGCCATTAACCTGCACAAATGCCCTTGGGGAGGACAATTCCAGGTCATCAGGAGCACTTGCCTGGACTCTAGGCTCTGAAGAAAGAATCATAACCACCCCCACCACCACCTACTGCCCATTTTCACGGTTGTAAAGGTGGCTGGCCACATTATTTGGATTTTAAATGCCATCAGGACAGCAATTTCTATGGTGTGAGAAAAAAGATGCTTCAACTCCTACTTGTGCTTAGCACATGATGAAAGATTATGACAAATGGATACAGCTTAGGAACAGACATAAGGATAAAAGCAGCTTCTGTTGATGAAAGTCAGTATTAACATTTTTCTGAGACTAGACTCAATAGAGCTAATATAAATGGGCCAGAATAATTATGGCTCTGAAAGCTCATCTATTTGGTTGGACTATTATCCAAAAGGGACTTACTAACACACAGTCCTTAAGTAAATTCATCAGCATGTTTTTGTTAATTGTGCATCTGCTAAAGCTCATGATGGGGAGCACCCAGATCCTCATGAGCTGCAGGTTGCAGGGGACACAGCACTAATCCCTCGAGATACTTGGTGCTTTTCTGGGCCAGCCTATGCTAGAAACAGCCCCAACCTCTTGCTTGGCCAGTCCCACCCTCAGGGGCTAATAGGATCTCATTCTCATTGTCCTTGAAGAAGAGGCCAAAAAAAAGGGCACCAACAAGATCTCAGTCAGAGACATTAAAAGCTCAAAAGGATTCGTGACTCCTAACTGTATATTCTCTCCTGCTCCACAAAGTGGGGAGAAAGGCAGAGAGAAAACAAATGACTTCAGAGAGAAAGTGGAAGCTTGCCATGAGCCAGAGGTGAACCTCAGCTGAGCTGGATTGTTATTAAATTCATCACAACTGTCATTTGCACTTCAAGGTCTTCCCACTCCAAAGCCTCTAGTACTTTACTCAAAATTTAGTGGGAGCCCCTGAGGTTGGGGAAGGTGGTCAGGGGAGGGTGAAACTGTCAGAGATCTTACAGTTAGGGCTTCTCAAGGGAGGGGAAAGAGGGCACTGGGAGCTGGTCAAGGGCAGGCTATTGCTGGGGCAGCTGGGGGAAATAGGGCCAGGAGCCTTAGTATGCTGCAGCCAGGCCAAGCTCAGAGCCTTCTTGGGCATTCTGCTCCTGCCTGTGGCAATGAACAAACCCTGAGCAATGAGGTGTAGGTTAATGAAGAGAGGCCTGGAAAGAACAGGAGAAAAGGACAGAGGGAAAGAGAATACAGAGATACTGACAGACCGAGAAAACACAAGGAAGAGGAGAGTACAGGAGGAAGCAGAGTCTTACTTGGTGCTCACCACACAGGCACTCAGCTCTTGGGGAGAATCCTGAACTTCCCAGCTCTGCTACAAACTGCTGTATGATTTTGGCCAAGTTACTTAATGTCTCTGAGCCTCAGTCTCCTCCTTCTCAAAATAAGGATAATAATTGTAGTTGTCTACTTCATAGGGTTGTTGGGGGATTAAATGAGAATACATAAAAAGCACTTAATACAATGCTTGGTACATGGTAAGATGATGATGATGATTATATCATCATCATCATCATCATATTTTCCCCAAAGGGAAACTGTGCCATGAGCTTTAAACAGAGGCCAGAGGACTCTCTGCGGGGGAAGAAGTACACATACTTCATGACCCAGTGCTAGCCACATCCCTGTAAGAAAAATAAAAGCTCATCTGATTCCCAAGGCAGCCCTGCTGGCATGGAGGCTTTCTTGGACCCAATAGGGACCTCTCTACTTGTGATAAGATACTTACCGGGTTCTGATGACTGAGGCAGAAGGTGAAGCAGGAGGCAATCAGCAGCCCAAGCAGCATGCCCAGAGGAGCCATCCTAGATAGGGGCAGACCCTGGGGAGGCATAGCTAGAGACCTGAGGAATGTAAATAAAGAAAACAATGTCAACAGGAAGCTAGTGCCCGATCCCCCAACATCGTGATTCCTATGATCCCACTTGTTCAATGTATGGCAGATGTTTCCTGCATAGAGGTAGCACAGGTCTTCTACCACAGGGGTAGATCAATCTGAAGAAACCTTCCATATCCCATAAGGAGTCCAGCCACCCAAAGGGAGATGTGCCTTGACTGGAACTGTACAGCCAACTAAGACTTCTGCATGAGCTATAACAGCCCTGGTTCTTTTCTTCTTCATTATCAACTTACAGGGTGGTATTGGCTATAGTGATGAAAGAAGGCAACTAACCAATTGATTTGTGTGTGAATAGACATAGGTCCAAATCTGCATAAGCCTTTATAACCATTCACTTCTAAACCAGACCTAGTGTTACACCTGAAGACAGACGCCATCAGCATCCCCTAAACCAGCAAAGTTCAATATTCCCAAGCCACAAAGCCTTTCACATGACTTTTCAAACAGCCACACAAACCAAAGTGCAGGTCCTAGTAGCTGTTAAAACTAAAATGATACAAGGATGAAAGACTATCCACGTTCAAGGATTGGAGACAATATTTTTAAGAGGACAAAACTACCCAAAGCAACCTGCAGATTCAATGCAAACACTACCAAAATCCCAATGGGGTTTTTTTACAGAAATGGAGAAACCCATCCTCAAATATATGTGGAATTTCAAGGAACCAATAACAGCCAAAAAAACTTGAAAAAGAAGAACAAAGTTGGAGGACTCACATTTCCCGATATCAAAACTAACTATAAAGCTACAATAGTCATAAGGACAGACACATAGACCAATGGAATCTGAGAGCCCAGAAATAATCACATATATGGTCAACTAATTTTCAACAAGGGAGCCAAGAACATTCAATGGGGAAAGGACAGTTTCTTCAACAAACTGTTCTGGGACAACTGGATATCCACATACAAAAGAATGAAGAGGACCCTTCCCTTACACCATATACAAAAATTAACTCAAAATGGATCAAAGACCTAAGTTTAAGAACTAAAACTCTTAGAAGAAAATACAGGAGAAATCTTCATAACCTTGGATTTGACAATAGTTTCTTAAATATGACACCAAAAGCACAGGTGATAAAGGGAAAAATAGATAAATTGAACTCCATCAAAATCAAAAAACTTTTGTGCCTCAAAGGACATTATTAAGAGAATGAAAAGACAACCCACAAAAATGGGAGAAAATATTTGCCAATCACATATCTGATAAAGGTTTAACATCCTGAATATATAAACAACTGCTACAACTCAACAACAAAAAGACAAGCAACTCAAACTAATAATGGGCAAAGGACTTGAATAGACATTTCTCCAAAGAAGATATATAAATGACAACACGGACATGAAAAGATTCTCGACATCATTAATCATTAAGGAAATGCAAATCAAAGCCACAGTGAGATATCACTTTATGTCCACTACAATGGCTATACTTAAAAAAAAAAAAAAAAAGAAAATAACAAATGTTAACAGGCATGTGGAAAAACTGGAACCCTCATACATTGCTGGTAGGAATGTAAAATGGTACAGCTGCTGTGGGACATCGTTTGGCAGTTCTTCAAAAAGCTAAACATAGAATTACCATATGATCCAGCAATTCCACTCCTAGGTATATATTCCACCCAAAAGATTGAAAACAGTGACTCAAATAGATACTTCCATGTGAATGTTCATAGCAGCATTATTCACAATAGCCAAATGGTGGAAACAACCCAAGTATCCAGCAACAGATGAATGGATTTTTTTTTAAATGTGATATAGACACACAACGGAATATTATTTAGACATAAAAAGAATGAAATTCTTCTACATGCTTCAACATAAATGAACCTTGAAAACATCATGCCAAGTGAAATAAGCTAGACACAAAAGGACAAATATAGTATGATTCTACTTAAATGAAATATCTAGAATAGGCAAATTCAGAGAGACAGCAAGAAGATTATAGGTTACAGAGGAGTTATTTATTAGCAGGTATAAAGTTTCTGTTTGGAGTGGTGAAAAAATTTTGGTCAGTAAACTAGAGTGGAAGTCAAGAGAACTTAATCCAAACTGGCAAATGATCTAGAAAAGAAAGGGAGAAAGAAAAACAAAATAAAACAAGCAAAAAAAATGCCTTAGAAAAACTCAAAACGTGTATTAACTCAGACCCTTATAAAAAGTTTGCCTGTTGATCACTCAGCCCCAAAACACCTCATTAGGCAGTTTACTCAATAAAGGCTTAACTGAATTAATTATGGGGGAACATCTCTGAAGAGTATGTTGTTTACCTTTTTTCTGTCCCTACTGTTGCCTCACTCCTCCGTGTTCTACCTCAAGAAATTGGTCCTGTGACATGACTGCAGTGGGACCAAAACCCTGCCTAAATTCACTCTCAGAATTTATTACCCCTTTGCCCAGCCCACATCTCCTGAGGGGCAGACAGAAACTTTCCCTAAGGACATCTGGAGCCATGAAGGAAAACAGCCCTGCTGGACCGGCACTGTGCTAAAAAAGCACAGCCAAATGGAAAAGCAAAGGCTTCAACGCTAAAAATAGCTGCTACACTCACCCAGCAGCAAAAGCCTTTGCTTTCTGCCAGTTTCTCCCCTCTTTTTTTTGTCGACAAAATGGAACGGTTGAGTACCGCATGAGCTTCCCCCAGCAACCTGGCTCCCTGGGGCACCAATCACACCGAAAGACAGTGAGTGAGTTCACAGTACAGCACTAGGTTCTGGACAGGTGCCTGGCAATGCCTGAGTGAGAGAAGAAGGGGGGCAGGCTGGGTGAGGATGAACAAGGGGTAGAGGCTGCCACATCAGGAGTGAGAAGGCAGAAAAGGCCCAGGAAGATGGGTGCCAAGAGGCCCCATACCATTCTTAACCCTGCAGCCTTGGCTGTGGGGAAAAGAGGAATAAAAAATGGAAGTGATGGGGCCAGCCTAGTGATGCAGGGGTTAAGTTTGCACATTCCACTTCGGCAGCCCGGGCTCCACCGGTTCAGATCCCACGTGCATGCATGGCATGGCTCATCAAGCCATGCTGCAGCAGGCGTCCCACATATTAAAAAAAAAAAAAAAAAAAAGTGGAGGAAGATGGGCATGGATGTTAGCTCAGGGCCAATCTTCCTCAGCAAAAAGAGGAGGATTGGCAACAGATGTTAGCTCAGGGCTGATCTTTCTCAAAAAAAAATAAAAAAAGGAAGTGAGAAGCAAATCTAGAAGGACCTGCAACTAGAATATACAACTACACACTGGGGTGGGGCTTTGGGGAGGAGAAGAAGAAGAAGAAGAAAAAAAAGATTGGCAACAGATGTTAGCTCAGGTGCCAATCTTTTTTAAAGATTTTATTTTTTCCTTTTTCCCCCCAAAGCCCTCCAGTACATAGTTGTGTATTTTTTAGTTGTGAGTGCCTCTGGTTGTGCTATGTGGGATGCTACCTCAGCATGGTTTGATGAGTGGTGCTATGTCCACGCCCAGGATCCGAACCAGTGAAACCCTGGGCCACCGAAGCGGAGCGCGCAAACTTAGCTACTCAGCCATGGGGCCGGCCCACTCAGGTGTCAGTCTTTAAAAAAAAAAAGCAAAAGGAAGTAGGGGATTCACAGCATTTTCAGGACAACACACAATAAGAGAGAACAAAGATTATCCCAAAAGCCACAGATTTCCCTCCCCCTCTCCTACATGAGAGCCTTCATGTGTATACGCATGTACACACACACACTAAGTTAGATGCTCCCTTCTTACAGCCAGGGATAATCACTGGAACTGGTGCTGGGGAAAAAGATGAGGAGGAAGAGATAAATGAGAATGAAGAAGCCAAGGGCAAAGAAGACAAATGAGCAGGAGGAGGAGGCCCAGAAGGGACTGAGGAAGAAGAGGTCGGGGGCAGCTGATGCACACAGTAGCTTCCCCACCTCCTGGAGTGGGAAGGCGAGTGGGGAGTGAGAAATGGCAGCTCCCACAGGGCTCCCAGCCGCCTCCATCTCCTCTACACACACTAATGCCTTCAGAAGCATTTTCTCCCAATTCTAAAAATGAGATATCAATTCGTAAATGGATCCTCCATCTCCCACCAATAATTCCACATGGACTGCACACCTGACCTATTTATTGCCTCCACATATTTTTCCATGAAACAGGGAGAAAGACAGAACATGTAGCGGGAGGGAGGGTTGCTGGGGAGAGACCTAGGAGAAGTGAGGCTGGGACAAAGGTGTGAGACAGTTTTCCAGGCTTTGCTGGGGCACCCAGAGAGCAAGTGCAAACTCTGTAGCTCACAGGCATAGGTAATGATGACCTCTGTCCTCTTAAGTCCTGGCCTGCAGTCATGTCACCTGGCCTTGGTCCTTATTCAAGAAGCAGCTGGTGAAGAGCAAGCAAGCAAGCATAGTTTTCCCTGGATTTTATGCTGAAGGTGGGGGAGAAGGGGAAAGGGGGAAATGGCACACAGCTACGTTATGCCAGGATGGCCCACCAAAACAAGTAGGGACCTGGGCAGCAGGAGCAGCAAAAGAAAACCTCAGACCCTGACATAAGCAATGCCAAAGTCACGGCATCCCATTGAGGCATAGTTTGGCACACTTGGCCTGAGGATAATACCATCCCCAAATCACTTGCCACCCACTAATCCTGGGTTCGCCTGATCACCTGCCCCTGCACACACGGCAGAACAAACTTTCCCATGATCCTTGGCTCTCTATGGAGGACAGACCTACATCTTTACATTCATGGCCTTCTTCTGACTTAAAATACCATCACTCAGTCCAGGAAAGGGGAACGTACTTCAATGTTTCACCAGCAATTCTTTCCTTAAGTATCTTTGGGCTTCGGGACAAAAGAAATAATAAGGTACTTGAGCTGCCCATTTTTCTATCTAAACTGGCCATTTGTAGGCCGTACTTCTACTTAAATAGAAGTTGGATGCTTTCAGCAATCTGTATTGCCAGCTTACTGCAGCCTGTAGC